AAAAGAGTAGATCATATTCAGCAGTTGTGACGCCCATCACTTTAATAATGGTGTCTTCTATCCCACTGGGTAATTCAAGACAATAATTTGCCAAAAGGCGTACAGAGGAGAGAAAGAAAAGAAAGAGATACCTGTACCTCCAGTTGCTGCACTGATTTTCTCTCATTATGACATGCAGAAGCAAATATCTCAAGTTGCTATGCTGGATCAATAATTATGTAATCATAATGACATCACTAAACCACAAAGAATATGACTGTGATTTCACATAAAGCAATAGTACCAATTTTATACCTACTACTGACTGAAAATCATCAAGAATAGATTTTGTATCATTGCCACATGATCAGTGTAAAATCAAAGCATACAGAAGATAGATAATAATAAAAATGCCTGTAAGACAAAGTAACTAAACTTCATGAAACTTGGCAACAATCATGCAAACCCGAAACATATGTCATTAGAAAAAAATGCATTATAAAAGCTCATCTCAATGTCATTTGCTATGTCCATGTATTTTGATGGTCCATGAGCCAAGTTTATATAAAGGGAATACAATAGTGTTACTATAAATTTAAGGCAACAGTCACCATTGCTAAACATGAATATTAGTAATGGCAACATCATCTACTCTTGGTAATGGTTTGAAGAGAATTAGCATTCTTTCATTGTCAAGCCAAATACAGTATCTATGGTCAAGCCGCACTAAATGTGATGTCTATGTGCAAAAAATTGCAAATCAGGCTCTTCGCAAATTGATATTTGATATTGACATTGATATGAAAGAGTAATTCTATTTATTTATAATATATTTAATCCACAAACCAGGAACATTAAGTCTTGGCTTTTGTGAAATAAAGTCAAGTACAATTAGCAATAATACTATGTGAATGCACAAAATAGTCAAATAGACAAAAAAAGCTTGTAGCATGAAGTACCCTTTAGTATCAATAATAAAACCAGTGATGTAAACTATTGCTGATAACGAAGCATTATAAGCTCCTCTCAAAATCCCATATCCTGTTGTAATATACTCTTTATCTACTACAAGAGCTGGCAAGGCAGTGAATGACGGTCCACCAAGAGTGTACGAAAGAGAATAGAATATTCCTGCTATGAATGGAATGTAGCTTTCTGTGTTACTGAACATGAACATCAATAAGGCTGGGAGTGCTGTTGTCAAGTTGCACAATAGTACCCAGAACAGATGAAAGCCAACTTTAGAAATAATCATGCCAGCAACTGGTGTGAGTACTATTGCACTGCCAAACAATAGCCCGTTGGCAATGTTAGCCATCTTGATAGAAAGACCATATTTTTGCACAAAAAATTTCTGAGCAATGCTAACGAAGGAATACAACACCGGAGTGAAGAGCATATTAATCGACACGGATAGCAAAAAAATAAATGAGAATACTTGTTTTATGCCTTTTGATTTGTCCGTGAATGCTACATCGTCACTTTTAAATTCCTTTGCCGACTTCTCTCTCATGTAGTCTGCTTGGATAACAATTACAGAGAAAATCATTGCAATTATCATGAATCCAGCAGCAGTAAGTATCGTGACTCCTAATCTAGAAGTAGGAGTATGAAACATTGAGAGACTGTCGTATATTAACTGAGGAAGAAGTATAGCTAATGTTCCTCCTAGTCTACTGAATCCAATATCAATTGAAATGGCAAGCGACAGATCCTCTTTGAACCAGGTTGCTTTAAATGAGTGGTCAATGACTATGATTAGCTCATTCCCAGCTCCAATAAAGAAACGTCCAACTAGCATGATAATATAATTATCGACAAGTCCTCCAACACCCCATACAATTTGACCAAGTAGAAGACAAATGACAAACAGAAGTAGTCCTAGTCTTCGTCCTAATAACTTGTCTACTAATACTCCTCCAACCAGACATAGAAATATATTGGGCCAGGCAGAAACAGAAAAGAGTAGATCATATTCAGCAGTAGTGACTCCCATCACTTTAATAATGGTGTCTTCTATCCCACTGGGTAATTCAAGACAATAATTTGACAGTAGACGTACAGAGGAGAGAAAGAACAAAAAGAGATATTTGTAGACCCAATAGTTGTACCAAGCTGAAGCAGAGCCATCTTCACCCAGGACACTCATTATTGACCCTTTCACTAGTATAGGCTACTAAATGAGACTTTGGACTTCCACCTATTCTTATAATGAACATATCTTGTAGTAATCAACTATTTTTTATTAATAAAGTAATAATGAACTACATAAAAGGTTTGAATTCGCTACATTTACTTAATAATAAAGCGACAATCAAATAAAATAAATTGGGAAAATGTTCAAGCTACAGTTCCTTTGCCATTTTTCTTGCCGTCTTATTATTTACACTGTCTTGATTCCTGGTAGAGACAGGCTTTTTGCTCTTGTAAGATGAATAATGCATTCCATCCCCGGGCTGAGGTGACGATAACAATGGACATAAAATTATGAGCCACCACCTAGTACCCATCAAATCCACAATGTTATGCAGTAATCCTCTCGTTTGAGGCAGCTTCTGCTGAGATTCCCAATACGTTTGACCGTTATAAAGATTCCAGCCATGCATGGCCAATAAGCCGCCACACATGACAGTGAAGAGCATCGCACAACCAGTCGCTATGAGGAGGATGGGATGGACGGGAACAATCTGTAACATCCAAAGCAATATAGGAAACACTGCTGTCCCTAGCAGAGCTAGCGAAAATCCTCCATTCAAGAACACCAGAAGCTTGTAGCTCATCACGATGCCATAGAACGAAGCTGTCATTGCATGCAAAAGAAGTAAGAGGAAATATTTGTGATTAAAGTAACCGATGCAGCGGCCTATAAAGAAGCAGTGATGATCCCTACGCAAGACACATTTCTTACAAGTCCTGCAGTGATGGGTTCGTGGAGGAGCAGGGTGATTGCAATAAGGACAGTGAGCCCATCCGCTCTGTGGTATATCTGGAAGCGTGAGACTCTTACAGGTCGAGTCGGTGGTAAGTACAAGGTATATATCAGCCACTATTGAGACGAATAGATAAGTCATGGACAGCCAGTGAGCTATGCGCCATTTTTGATGGCTAATGAGGTCTTCCTCGCTGTAACGTTCATCCAAAGGATACAGGGCCGGAGTGACCCATAGTATTGCGTGTAAGTACCCAATAGGAAGGGCAGTCATTGTTATCCCCATCGCTAGGGAGTCTGTGGAAGTCCTTGGACGATATTCCCTCCAAAACTCCATTTTGATATAAGCACCGCCCACTTAAAGATAGATCACACCTACGTCCTACGACACATCTCTTTATCAATAATGTAACTGTTGACAAAATTATTTGCTTCATAAAAACATTTTATTTCTTTTCAGTTTTCTCTTTGATCATCTTAAGGAACCTCGTCTTTGGCTTCTGCTGTCGCTTCAGAATGATACTTGCTCTACGGACAGCAGGCTAGTGAGAGAAGAGAGACACATTTTATCAAGATAGTGGTGTCAAGAAAAAACTAAAACTTATAGAAGTACAAATCACAAACACACTAATACAGTATACATACAAAAATTGCTCTTTTAGCACTCCCTCAATTTTCCTTTCACTTGGTATTAAATCACAAACAATACTAATCACAATTCCTTACATCAATAAGGTCACGGCGATACTTCATATTCCCAAGAGTCTTCCTTATCGACCTGTATACTTTCCTTGGATCTTTGTTAGGAAGATTAACGCGGGCTAATGACTTGGCTGGGGTATAATTCTTTTTCTTTTTGTAGACAAGGACAACTCCTTTGTTACCCTGTCCTGGATACACACCCACAGCCTAAAGGACAATATAAAATATTAATAGGACAATAAGGACATAGCGGCATTTCTCCTACAAAGCATGCTAAGTGAGCTAAACAGCACATGCTATGAGTTGACAATTAAGCTGAACATGACTTTTGAATTTGGAGCAACTTTAAAAATTCGTAAAAAAATTAATTTTGATCAGAATCAGCTCAAACTTGCTACACTACATAAAACATGTATATGCATCAGAAAAAAATTATAAAAATGAAGAATCCCCTCCTAGTCAATTTTGGCAAAATTTGGCCAAAAACCCTGTACTATAGTACAGGGACTTAGGCCCAATTTTGGAGTAACTTTAAAAATTCATAAAAAATCCAATTTTGATCAGAATCAACTCAAACTTTCTACGCAACATAAGTACATGTATATGCATCAGAAAACATTATAAAAATCCAGAATTCTCAACTTTTCATTTTTGGTGAAATTTGGCCAAAGTCCCTGTACTATAGTACAGGGACTTAGGTGTGATTTTGAAGCAACCTTTAAAATTTATAAATAATCCAATTTCAATTGGAATCGGCTCAAATTTTCTATGAAAGGACTATTTTTGTCGGTCGATTTTGTGGGTTAGCAATCAGCAACAATCCACAAAACTTTAATCTATGGTTCTTTACTACATGTAACACGTCAAATTTAACATGATAAATACCCAAATTGCAAAACCCCATTATACACATAGCCTAACCAATATCACAATATTACATTACTTCACAATATCATTTATATATTTATAAGGTACGTTACCTGATTGTTCACAAGTCCATTGTACTTGTAACAATGCCAATGCCTCAAATTATTAGGTTCCTGGAATAAAAAAAAATTCAAAAAAAATTATAAAATCTTTCAAAAATACCCGAGAAAAGGCAGCCTTGTTTTTCTTATCCTTGACAATGAAGGAAGAGGATTTCTTGATGAGTTCCCACTGGAGCTGGCTCGACATCTTGAAATGAAACACGTGGAGAAAGAGACCTACTGAGCATGCTCAGTACTAACTAGCCCCGCCTAAATTACAAAGGCGTGGCTGTCTTGCCTCTTAAGGCGTGGCTAGTTATCAAAATTATTCAAGATGACTTCTTTGGCTTGTAGAAAATATGTAAGTGCATTTGCAGGAATACATTTGTTTAGTTTGCTGTTTTATTAGTTGGAGGATGACCAGGACTCTGGAATATTGCTAGCAGCTATTAGTGAGGAATTAACTACTGAAGATCCACCAGTTGTAGCCACTTGTTTATTAGATTCTAATTATCAAGTAAATTAATTGTAAAATGTAACTAATTTTGTAGAAAATTCACCTCAAGTAAGTGTTTAATTGTAATATATTGCAAGTCATAATTATGGCATTAAAGTTATTAGAATTTTGTTAATTATTTATAGATTATTTTGTCTGAGAATGGTTGGGATTTGATAACACTTTTCACTCGTTATGTCACTTCATTTGATTCGCCTGTTTATTCATTACTTCAATCAATAATCACTGTATGGTATTTTGCAGAAATTATTTTGTTGTCACTAGTTTATTTTTAATAAGGTTTCGTCTGCTAAGGAGATGTGTTTGGCACTAATGGAGCAGATTGAGGTTCTTTACGACATAAAGAAATTTATCATTCTCCTTCCTCTTCTGAAAGATGGTAAATCAAAAGTTTACACACTTTATTATTATTAAAAATTTTTTTCAGTGTTACAGCGAATGACAAGCCATGCGACAGCATTGAAGGATCTCTTAGAGTTTGTTGAGAGATTCTGTGCAGTCTTTACAAGAAAAGCACTAGCAGTCATTGCTGCAACTCACAAACTTGACCAACCATCACTGACCAATGAAGAAGAAAGTGATGATGAACAAGAGGAGTTGGATACCAATGATGTTAGCATTCAGGACTTCACGAAATCATTAGTAGCATTCTTATCATCTTTTGTTGCTTCTATTAGCCAAACTTATCATGAAGCTGGTGGTAGAGTATCAAAAGACATTTTACCATTGCAGAGAGCCTGTGTTGCTCACTTGCTGGAACTCCTTGGTACAATATTACTAACAAGTGATGAAAATGATGCAGGAATTGTAATGGAGAACATTGCTAACTGCCATTACGGGGCACTTGCATTATTTGAATGGAGGAAAATCAAGAGAAAGATCGACTTTGAATCAACTTTAACTCTATCCCAAACTGGCTTGACTGGTTTTGCATACTTGATTCTCGTTAAAGGTTCCTGTGCTAGCTATCTTCCACTAGTTATCAATCCATTGTATTTATTTCAAGTTTGTTCTCATCACATTTATGAGACTCTGAAACAGTTCAGTGTATCACACGATAGGATGACAGTGATTTGTTTGGTATGTTACCCACTATTATGAATGAATCTCATTATTTATATTTTATAGACATTGCTGGAGAGACTAATGAGAGATATCAGTGCATGCTCTATTCCTTCATCATTTCTTGATGAAGTTGTTCATTTATCTGAATTAATTCTTATACTTTGTCACTTAATGTACAAATGCCCATTTAAAGAAGTGGTGAGTTACAGTATTAATTAAGCAAAGTGGTATAGCTTTGAATATTTCCCTTTTTCATTTTAGAGGAAGTTATCTCAAAGACTGGTGTTTAAGTTAATACTTTGTTTTGGATCAAAAGGTCGCTATCGCCTGTACAAGAAGCTGTTTACAGAATTGGATCACTCTGGAGTTCAAGGACTATTGGTACATCAGATAAAGGAAGAAGCTAATGCAGCCATTGAAGTAAGACTTTCTCCTGTAGCATGATTACAAAATGATTGTAAGTACTAACTACACTTTATTGTAGTGCAACGATGGAGTGTTTCTTGGTGACTCATTAAAAGAGCTTTATCAAGATTTCCTGAAAGCAACTCCTCAAATGGATGTTCTCTCTGAGTTTGACAAGTATATGCATATATGCGCAATCAATAATACTAGAATGCATTGTTTTTGTTAGGCTATTGGCTGGCCTAAATTTTATAAGATTTTTACTATTAAAAGATTCACCTTCAAATGATATAGTGAGTATATATAATCTAACATTGCATGGTTAAACCACTGATCTTTTATAGACTCACGTTTGGAGGCACATTAAACAGCTGAAGGAAGACTATCTTAACCCATTGAGATCATCTGTGACTCATTTACAGACTTACTGTAAAGCAAGACTCCAATCACCAGAACAATACAGTTAGTTTTATGATCTAGCTCAATCGTAATGAATTCCTTGACTTATTGTTCACAGTTTAATGTAATATAACCAGAGTTTCCAGACAGGAAGTATGAATAATAAGTACTTGCAACCCACAATGCTATTGTGAGGTTTATTGGCTATTTAATGCTTGAATCTAGTACTGAAGGATTCAAGGCAGAAATGTTCTGAGATTACAATTTTTGGAGGGACATAACAGTCCCAAAACCTTTATTAATTTATTAAAATAAACTGAATTGAGTAATGGCTTGGTTGTAAATTTTTTTTTAATGATTAATTAATTAGTAGCAATGAAATTTGTTGTTTGTATTGCATTTTCAGGTGACAGTGGACAATTGGATTTCTCGGTTAATTTGATTGGAGGTGAAGAGTTACCAGAACTTACTCCAGAAGAGGAAGCAAAGGTAGATCTAATTTCCATGCTTTAATGCACCTGGGATAATTTGTTTCTTTCTCTTTTCTAGACATTACAAATCTCTCTTTTTAGACTAGACATGATTCTAAGTGTGATGGCTAGAGTTGAAGAACTAGCAAATCTATAATTAACTTTTATTATTAAATTTATTACTAAAAATAGAAAAATAGGGTACCAAAGCACAATACTATAAATAGATTTTGATGACGTCATTGCGCATGCGCAGATCCTAATCGTTACTCTTTCTTTTTCCCTTTCTTTCTCGTCGGTGTACTCTAGCTCTCTCCCTTTCTCTGTGTTGCTGTTGGTAAGTATCTTCTTCCATCTCCTATTCCCCCTCCTCCTTCTTCTCCCCACTTTCTCTCTCAGGTGAGTTACAACAATAGTTACTTGTAGTGTTGTGTTATTTGCTTGTTCTTGTCGGGACGCAAAGTTATGACACCTCTTAACAGACCTCTCCCTTCTCTCTCTTTTCTAGTTCTTACCCTCATTCTTCTTAGAATCTTTCCTGAAAATGACTGACCACGAAGAACTCCTCGATTTTGTAGAAGAAGACCAAGACACGACAGAGCAACAGAACGGCGGTGACGGGGCGTCACAAGAGGCCAAGAAAGACGTGAAAGGAAACTATGTTTCAATTCACAGCTCCGGCTTTAGGGATTTCCTCTTGAAGCCAGAGCTGCTACGTGCTATTGTGGACTGTGGATTTGAGCATCCATCAGAGGGTGAGTAACTAAGTGTTTGTCGCTTGTCATGATTTGCTTTCTCTTTGTACGTAATGACAGTTTTTGTGTTCACGTCTATATTGGAATGATTTGCATAGCCTTTATGTAGAGTTTTTTCCCCAATTTGTGACTTATGAATTACAATGTCATGGACAAGTTAAAACTGACATTGCATCATAGGCACATCTAACATGATAAAGTGAAAGTGTTATTGTGCCATTAGCCATTAAAATTTTGTAACGTTAGCCACATAAATTATTACCTTAAAGATTTACATGTATTAAGATATTGTAATGATAAGCTTTTAAAAGTGAAAGCTAAACCTTTTTGTTCCTAACACAAACCATTTTGTTTAAACTTTTTATGTACGTGTACATGTGTTTTGTCAACGTGGATAATCTCAATGGATTGACACCCATTGAGCTCTGTCCAAGTGGTTTGGAGCCAACTGATGATCCTTTCTCTCTCTTGAGATTAAAGGGTTGTCATTATGAGGTGCAGTCCCTCCACAACGTTGTATATAAACTACTGCCGCTGTCTTACCTAAGATAAGCTGAGCAGGCAATGGCATATTCCTGTTCCTTCCATAGCTCCTAGTGGGCATTAATTGGAGAGAGAAACCATGCTAGTGACACTACTAAATTATATTTTTCTCATGTACAGTTAAATATCTTATTGATGTAGTATGATGTGATGTTGATCTTCTTTTTCATTTCTTCTTTTTATAGTGCAACACGAGTGTATTCCTCAGGCTATTTTAGGCATGGACGTCATCTGTCAAGCAAAATCAGGTATGGGCAAGACTGCTGTCTTTGTCATAGCAACGCTTCAGCAACTGGAGATAGTTGAGGGACAAGTCTCTGTTCTTGTTATGTGCCATGCCAGGTAATGAATGATCATAATTTTATTTAAGTGTGTGGTTAGGAATATTTTATTTAACATAGTGCCATTTTTGACTGTTAGGAATATTTTATTTTTACATTTTATTTCTTATATTTAATGCATTGTCCTTTTTTTCTATAGGGAATTGGCCTATCAAATATACAAGGAGTATGAACGGT